ACATGTATTCACATTCAATTAGGGAATCAAAGTTCCCTGGCTCAAAACCTGTCAAAGCTGTTCTTCTATATGTAAACTGACCCAGATGTACATATGTGAAAATAGTTATTATAGTTCTATAATTTGCCTTTTAATATAATGTAATGCATCTCTGACATTGTTGCATAAAGGTCTCCACTCTTTTTTTTTTTTTGCGGTACGCAGGCCTCTCGCTGCTGTGGCCTCTCCCGTTGTGAAGCACAGGCTCTGGACGCGCAGGCTCAGCGGCCATGGCTCACGGGCCTAGCCGCTCCGCGGCACGTGGGATCTTCCCGGACCGGGGCACGAACCCGTGTCCCCTGCATCGGCAGGCGGACTCTCAACCACTGCGCCACCAGGGAAGCCCAAGGTCTCCATTCTTAAGCTGCATAGTATTCCATCTTGTATGGCCACACCATACTCTAACCATCTACCTAATGATGAAAATTTCGGTTGTTTCCAATTTATTATTATTGCAAACACTGTTGATTTGACCACGGCACCTGCATCTTTAAAAGCTCCTTAGGTGATCTGATGCATTCCTTGGATATAAGCCATTGCTGTAAGAGGACTGGCAGAAACTACATTCCTCAGGTGAAATTATACATTATTGCAGACATAAATCAATTCTCATAGTTAGCTAAAAGGTAGGTGAACGTTTTACTTTCTCCATAAAAATTTAGAATAAGGCTGAACAGTAAGTAATAACTGATGTTCTTGAAAACAAAACCTCTACATCGCATTCAACATCATTCACTCTAGACCTTTCTTGTACTAGAAATGAAACTGGAAGAGCACTGCCTGAAGGGTCCTCACAGTTCCTTTCACCAAAAGAAAGCTAGTATGAGCACCAGAAGCATGATATCTTTGCTGTCCTTGACCTCTCAAAACTTTATGCTTATAGGTAGTTATATATATTTACTGCATAACTCAGTTTTCTCATCTGTAAAATTGGTGTAACAACTCTCATGGAATTCCTTTGAGGTGAGCTTTTATGACCTTCTGGCATTCATTATCTATTTACATATTTGCATATATAAGCTACTTCATTAGATTATTTACTGCTTTAAGCGTAAGGATAACTCTCTGAAATCCAGTGCATTAGGAACTCTAAGAAAATACCATTTTTGTTCAATGTATATGGCTGAAATTCATGGCTAGGTTTTTCTTTCTTTTTTAAATATATTTTGGCTGTGTTGAGTCTTCATTGCTGCGCACAGACTTTCTCTAGTTGTGGCGAGCGGGGGCTACTCTTCCTTGCGGTGCGTGGGCTTCTCTTGTTGTGGGGCAGGGGCTCTAGGCGCACAGGCTTCAGCAGTTGCAGCACGCAGGCTTAGTAGTTGTGGCATGTGGGCCCTAGAGCGCGCGGGCTCTAGAGCACAGGCTCAGTAGTTGTGGAGCACGGGCTTAGTTGCTCCGTGGCATGTGGGATCTTCCCGGACCAGGGATCGAACCCGTGTCCCCTGCATTGGTAAGCGGATTCTTAACCACTGTGCCACCAGGGAAGTCCCCTGGCTAGGTTTCTCAAAACAGCAGAGCAGCTCCAGAACACACTCAAGAAGGACCCAGGTCTGACTGGTATGAATGACCAATAATTATAAAACAGAAACCAAGATCTCATTTCTGGAAGACTGAGATAGAAGAGCTGCCAGAATCGGAGAAATCACATTTCATATACCTAAAGTGTAGGAATTTCTTATGTTCTTCCTTTTGTCTCACCCAGGCAGCAAAACAAAGTAAGAAAGCCCTTGTAGTAAATGGCAAAAGGAATCTATGTTCCTATGAAGACAGATAAGATAGGTGAGAAAAAGGAAGTAAATTCTGGATACAAACAATGGAAAATTTCAACAGAATTATTTGCAAAAGGAATTTTAAGATATCTGAAGAACTACATAAATACCAAAAGTCAGTTTTAATGATTCATACAGTAAAGTTCTATAACTTCAGAGGTTGTGATTTCAGGCTCTGATTTTACAGATATACTTTTAAAAAAGGCCCATCACCCAATTAAATGAATGGTCTTTCTAAGAATTCATATAGCTTTTACTGAGTTCAAGACAAAATTATGACATTCTTGATTTCTCCCCACTCAAACCCCATATCCAGTCTCTTACTAAATCCTGTTGATTTTATATCTTAAATATCTTTTAATTTATACATTTGTCTAGTCCCACTACTACCATCCTATTCCAAGCAACCACCATCTCTTGCCTGGATAACTCCCAACCCAATTCATTCTCAATACTAGCCACTGATGTAAAAATGCAGACCTCTTCATACCATTATCTGTGGGCATTTGAGCTGAAGACCACTGCACCTAACCCTATCAATCACAATTACCTTGCCCTTTGCTCCATTCTTCACTTGACTAATTCCCTTAGCTAAAAAAATGTCATCATCAGAAGCTTCCCCGAAGCCCCAGACTAAGTTTAGGTTAACTCTTCCTGTGAACATGCTCCTACAGTATTCATTCACTTAACAATTACCTATATTGGGTGCCTATTATGCGTGAGACACTAGACAAATAGGGTGAACAAGACAGACAAAATCCCTGGTCTCTTAGAGTTTATATTCTAATGTGGACAAATGAGTCAGCATGAGTGGGAGTGTATGCATGCATGCATGCGTGTGCAGAGTAGGGCACAGACAAGAAGCAAGAAAACATTAGTGATAAATGCTATAAAGAAAATATCTTCAGATTAAGTAACATTTAAACAGAGACCCAAATGACAAGGAGACAACTCATCAAAAATCAGAAAAACGTACCAAATTTAAAGAATAGTGGGTTCAAAGTCCTAGGGTGAGAAGAGCTTGCTATATCTGAAGAACAGAAGTGTGGCCAGGTAGAAAGAGCTATATTGCGGGAGCAGCAGACAAGGACCAGATGATAATTACCGTGCATTTCACTCCCCACTTCATTCCTTCATCTAGCTCCTTTTTCCATTCCTTGTTTTCCTTACCCATCTTTTGCCTCTAGCTTAGGTTTAACCTAGTCAGTTAATGGCTATAAAAGTTTATAACTACAGCTCTACTAGCTTTTAATACCATCTATTAAAAAACCAAATCAAATCAATAAGGATTTACTAAGAGCTTGGGTGGAATAAAGGGTGACCAATTCATCCCAGCTAAAGCACTGAAAGCTTCTGAAAGCTCCACATCACAGAATGTGGAATCCCCTCAGACCCAGGCAAATGGAACTGTTTGGCCAGGCTAGCAGCATATGCAGACTCACAGGAAGTAGAGGCTTTTGAAAATCCCATAAGGACTAGTAATAACAAAATAACTTTTACTGAATACTTAACACTTAATGCATAGAAAGGCACTTAATTCAATGCTCACAACATCTCTATTAAGCCCATTTCACAAACGAGGAAACTAAGGCTTACTGAAGGAAAGAAAAATTCCCCAAGTCCCCCGCTCAAGGGTAAGACACAGAGCCAGGACTGTACGATTAAAAACATACCAGAAAGGTACAAATGCAATTGAAGTTCATTTCAATAGAAGAAATGACAGGAGTATGCAGTAATTAGGAAAAGAAATGTAAGCAAGAAGTAGCCGCCATCAAAGCACTACCGGGGCTTGGAAGAATAAATGGCTAGGGTGATTAGAAAGGTTTTGAAAAGCTGGGATTGAGGCAAGGTTCCAATAGCATTTGAAAAACTGGACTGGAGGGAGGCGATTTAGCCCAAGGAACTATTGTTAACAAAAGCAACGGAGGCAGACAGTGTGTAAACCAGTTTAGGTGGGAGTACACTGATTAGGAAAGTGGCAGGTAACTGCTAAAAAATTTTCTACAAAGTCTCCTCCTCCTTTCTTATAAAAAAGGCCAAACTCCACAATGTACATCTAACACCCTTTAGATCCAACCATTCCATACTCCTACTTCCCTCACAAACCTATTCTCCTGTCAAAACAGAAAAGTACAACCTGAACATATCCTGCACATTTCCTCCATGCATGGATTTGCTCATTATTAAGAAGTGTGCTCCTGTCCAAGGCTAGTAGTCAAAATCCTACCCCTCCTTCAAGAGCTAGCTCAAATGCTACTTCTTCCATGATGCTTACCCAACTTAGCTAAATATTATTTCTCTTTTTCTTGTGGTTCCCAAAGCATTTTGTTTCTATTTTTACTCAGACACTCAAAGGTAGGTCTGGACCCAGTGTAAGGTGTTGAACCCTATATGGGCAATAAGAATGGATGTCTCAGATTGAGATAACGAGGGAACAGAAGTCCAAAGTTGTCAGCTTTTTAGGGAATGATGAGCAAATAAATCGGATCTGCAAAGAAGTAAGTATCCTTGCTGAGCATTAGCAACTACATACCAGTCATCAAAAGGCAGGTGAAGGCATGTGTAGTATATTCAGTTTGTAGTCCTCCTAACTCATGTTTCCAAACTGCTTTCAGTTTGTTAGCTGTGGCTGTTTGTGAGGCAAATGCTTTCCAGATGGAAAACTTTACTGCGCAGAAAACAAGAACTTGTGCCACATACCGGGTGGGCAGGAGTTTCATTTTTAAAGAAATCCCTGTCCTCGAATTCCAGGATCTAGGACTAGAATACCAGTGTGTGAATAAAATTAGAATTTTATCTGAGACGTGTCCAGAAGCTTGGCTAACTCCTTTTCATGGTGCTGATAGAAATTAAACTATAGATATAGCTTGGGTTTAGAGGCCATAGGGATCTGTAAATATTAGTAGAACACAGTGATACCTGAAGCAAATATTTTAGTTTAAAATGAAATAAAAGTGATTAGAAAGCAAGACCAGAATAAGAGCAGAGACCAAAGGATTCATAGACAACAAAACAAAACCAGAGTAGTGACATTAACTTCTCAAATACCATAGTTCTGTTAGGCCCTCAATGTGTTTGCTATTATTAAAGAAAGGCACAATTTCACAGACAAATTAGGCTGCCCCCTTTTGGTCAGTAAATCATAAAAGCTTAAAAGGCAGGAAAGATTTAACAAGTTATTCAAATACTTACAGGATCAGAATTTTGTCCTCATTCAAACAACTTCTCCAATTAATCGTGGAAAGGCTATTCAATTTTTCAGTAGACATCGCCATTGAGAAATACTTATTAACTCTATACAAAGGACACAAATGATTTTTCAAGATACTTATATAACAGAAAATATTCAAAATACTATATAGCTTGCTGTTGAAACCCAGAACCTGGGTCCTCTCCTAGTACTTGCCTAAGGTATTTAAAACTGCCACTTGCACAGTCTGCATACCTTTTCTGTATTTAATACCAGGGTGAGTATATTAAAAACATAGGCTAAGACAAGCATGCCAAGGGCAACAGTTTTACTCTGCCTAACGTCATAGAACAAAAACAGGCAAATTGATTACATAAATGCACATCAGGCCATTCTACTAATACGGGATTCTCAAAAAAGATCTCAAAGCCCTATCCATTCAACTGATTACATAAATGCACATCAGGCCATTCTACTAATATGGGATTCTCAGAAAAGATCTCAAAGCCCTATCCATTCATTCAACAATATGAATGGTCAACAATGTGTCAGACACTTGAGTGAACAAGAAGCATGGCCCCATCTTATATAGGCCATAAACTAGCCATTAGCATCTTATTCCAAAAACTCTTCAGCGAAATAACCTATGATGCAAAAAAGCCATCAAATCTAATGCAAAACCTGTTATACCACGAGAAAGAGTATATGAAAAAGGAAGATTTCAATGGATAAACTACTAGAAAATGACAAAAATTCATCAATTCTCTTTAAGTGGTGTGAATTCAAAAAGAAACATTTTCCTAGTCTCTAAAATGGGCACCAGAAGATATAATGGTTGCTTCCTTTCTTTAGATGATTATAAAAATATTAGTATCCTGTAGTCAAAATGCAGAAGGATAGGGTACCCATACTTGGTCTCCTTTAATCAAGAAGCTAGAAACACCAAGCTACACAATATTTACATTTTTAGTGAAAAACAATTTAGGTTATAGCAGCCAATGAAGAAAATGGCACCAGAGGGAAAATTGGAAATGACTGAAGATTCTGAACTGCCTTGAAGCTTTATTAAGGTGTGGCCGATTCCAACACTGTGCACTTCAGTCATAGCACTTTCCATGTAAATATCTGTAAGCACCTTGGAGCACTGGCACTAATTTCCCAATTGTATTCCTGCATTCATTCCAAAACCCTGGACCTTTTAGAACTATTCCAAAATGGCGACCTGATTCTTAACACATTTGAGGACAGCTTACCCCTGGCCAGAGGTTCTAGCGTAACTGATCTTTTTGTAAATTCCACCTTAATTGAGCTCAACCAATACATGTCTGAATATAGCAACAATCCATGAAAAATCTTCATCTGAAGTTTTGGAAAAGGGGTAAAGTACTGCTCCCTTCGTATTCAAATTTTCCAGGAAGGACAAGCTGCCTAAAAAACTTAAGAGTCCAAGGAAAAAAACCTCACAATCTCACGAACTTTTCCACTTTCTCTCTCAACCTCCCACACCGTCTCATAATCTCTCACTAAGTTAACTTCATTCCTTAAATATGAACTCATCTACACATTTCTACAATTTCACCGCAGTGAAATTGTGACCAGCAACAATCTCAGATAAAAACGTATGGAACTAATTATGAATCAAAGCAAGAGCTGCACTTGGACTTTTTAACTCCCTAAAGGAATCAAGGAGTGAAGGTAGTAGAAAATCTGGAAAAAGGAAAAAAGTGTGTTCCATCTTTTCTTCACACATTATTCTTACTGCCGATCAACCAGGAAGCAAGGGGTGGCCAGTTTCCCCCTTTTCTTCTTCACACCTCACAGAAAATGCTCTCGGGACCTCCGCCCCACTTGCCCTGACAGCTTCTCCCCGCCTCCCCCCGCCCCCCAACCCGAGCCAAGCCAGGCAAATAACTACCCCTCCTTCTAGCCCCTTCCTCGATTTATTCAACAGATCTCTTCCCCCAGTAGCACACTTTGGGCCGCCCGGCCCACCCTTACAATTTCCTCGAAGTTACCGTTCCCCAGCCCTGCAAGAGGAATTCCTCTGGCAGCCCCGGCTGGACCCAATATATTCTCAGGTTACATTTCTAAACCTCGGGTCTCGCAGTCATCAACGCTCCCTACGCTTGTCCAAGCATCCAGGCTGCCCCGTCCGTCCCCTTCCCAATTTACCCAGTGTTTTCTCTCCAGCCCAATCCCGCAGCCGCCCACCCAACCCAAGGAGCATTGTCTTGGTCTACCCAGGCCCGAAGGGCGACCCCCAAGTGCTCGGCCCACCCAGAATCGCTTCAATTTCTGGCTCAGGAGACGCCGCCCCGCCCTCTCCATCCTTCTCGCGCCAGTCGTCCTACTCACTGCGCCCGGCGGAGAGCTCGGCGCGGGAAGGGCGCGGGATTCAGACACGCTCCCCGCTCCCGACCTCCGCCGCGAGCGCGCGGCCCCTCATCCAGGGCTCCCGCCGCCGCCGCCGCCGCCGCCTCCGCGCGCCTCCCCCCTGCTTCCCCGCCTCTAGCGGGCTCTTCACCTCAGAGCAGCGCCCACGAGCCCGAGAGAAATCGGTGCCGCGCTACTAGCGCGTCTTGTCGGGCCGGCCAGGGGAGTGGCGACCAGAAAAGCAACAAGCCGGTTGACCGCGGTTGAGCCCCTCACTGAAGCGGCGTACCGCAGGCCCCGGCCAACGGCCCTCCCCTCAGCCGAACAAAAGAGCCTCGCACTCTGCGCTGCCCGCCGCCCGCATCACGCAGGCGCGACGTCCCGCCGCACAGCGCTATGGGACTCGAAGTCCGTCCCAGACTACAAGACCCGAAGTGCTGCGCGCCTTCCACGGCGCCACGCACAGTTTGCTAGGGTTTCGAGTTTTACTTAGTTCTTCGATAGCTAGTGCCGCCGAAGCGACTGCAGTTTAGAAAGCTGCAACCTAGAAAGTTAAAACGTGTGGTTTTACAAGAGAGTCTGATGCTTGGTCTGAAATATCAACCACTTCTGGACAGTAGTTCACATCCTTGAAAATTTTGCATCTTATAACAGGTTTCTCACCAGATCTCTGTAAGGCTCCTACGTCTCGGCGTTGAGATTACAGTACTTCCCTTTCGAGGCATTCCCTGACCCCTTAGGCTGGGTAGGTCCGCCTGGTAGGTGTCATCATAGTATCTCATTGGCTGCACCAATGGGTGGCTTTAGTGCCAAAACCCCCATTATCCATGAACACCCCTCCCTCACCCAGCCTCCCCAAAGAAACACAGAAATAGGCAAAAAAAACATGTTTCTTATTCTTTGGGACAAGTGTTCTAATTCTTCTAATATCAACTAGATTGCCGTCCCCAAACCCGCTCACGTGGGAATTCGCTCTTATCGTAATATTCACCCCACTTTATTGTCATGTCTGTCTTCTCTCTTGGACTCAAAACACCACTCCAGTAAGGGCAGAAACCTTGGCCCAGTACAGCCCCTAGCATACAGTAGTCAATCCCTAGCATACAGTAGTCAGTCAACATTTGTTGACTAAATGATTAAATGAATTAATATGTTCTTCTCCTACCTGACAGAAAATGTAGGTGATCAAGATTTCCTTCGTCTCTTTTCTTCACATCATATTTGTGGGGTTTTTCGATCTCCCCCCCTTACTCTACTTTTCCTTATCCAATCAGGAACTAAATAGAACTTCTACCACCAAGGTGACGTTTTCCCCCTTACCTGGAATTCAAACATCCTCCTAATCAGAGGGAAAGGAAAAAGGCAACTAGTCTACTGTACTCCACCCCAGAATGCAGGAGTCTGCATTTATATAGCAGTTTTGCTGTGCCAGGTACTGTGCAGGATTCTGGAGAATTGCCATGTAAGAACCCAGCCCAGCAATATCATAAAACAGTTTTGCTAAAAGAGCTGTGAGAGCAGAGAAGAGGGCAGTTCTTCCTGAGACATTTTTGGGTTGGGTGTCCATGAAGAGGCAAAAATTCATCTATTCATTCCCTCCTGAAGTGCCCTATTCTGTTTCTAATAATTTTAATGATGAGAAACTTAGTTGTAACACTATTAGCTACTAGCTAGGAATTTTGTTAAGTCCTTGATTAATGTTATTTAATCCTGACATCAACCCCAGGAGGTGGAATTGCTATTTGCATTTTGCAGAAAAGTCTCAGAGGCTGTGTAATCTATCCAATGGCATTAAGCAAGAAAGTGTTGGAATCAAGATTTGATGTTATTTCTAACTCCAAAACCATATTTCCGCCTGTATAAAATGCTGTTATCCCCAATTCCTCATACTGAGCTGAATTCTGCTTCCCCATGTAAATGCCATCTATTTCCTTACTTCTGGCTTCTGTAGCAGCACACAGTTCTCTTCTGTTAACCTAATTCCTCTTTCATATTGTATTTCTAGTATTGAAATTCCGCCTTCATGTTCCTTAAGGTCTCTCTTTTCTAAGCTAAATGTCACCATTTTCTTAAACTGTATATCATAGGACAACAGTTTCAGATCTAGCGCATCTAGTTTGTTAAATTCTGCCTCTTATAAGCATATTTCAAAGTAGAGGGAGCCATCATGGCCCTGGTGCTCTACATCATTCTTGAATTAAGGGAGTCAAAGGTCACCTTCTCTTTTTAGGTAGCAGAGCGCCACCAGGTTTATGCTAATCTGCAATCAGCTAAGAGCTCTCTTGTTAATCATCTGTTCTGGAATTCTGCCAGGGATGGATGTCAAACTCTCAAGCCTCCAAGTTTCTGCATTAACAAAATCTTTTTTGAAAGTCTTTTGGGATTAAGTGGATTTAGTTCTTTTCTCTTCCCATAAGAATGATGACATTTCAAACTATTCAGACCTTCAGGGTTTCTTTTCTTTCTAAGGGTAATGGCACCTCAGTCATAATGATCTTGCTCAAGACAACATTCGAAGTGACATTGCTCGTGCCCAACAGGAAATATGTCTGTCATATGAAGTTTCCAGAATCACAGGAATGAGGGGAAAGGAGGAAGTGTGATGTTGCAAAAAAGAACAAGGACTTGGTATCAGGCTGAACTGGATTCAATTCTGTCTCTATTATTTGCCTGCTGTGTAACTTTGGACAAGCCGCTTAACTTCTTGAGCCTCAGCAGCTTCCATGAAAATCTAAAATATGAAAGTATTATTTAAGACCTAACATGCAGCATTTCTGTAGGATTAACAGTAATGTGTAAAGGGAATGGCACATAGCTGGCCCTCAGTACACAGTAGTTGTTTTAAGTACAATAGATAGCTGCTTCTGAAATGTGATTTAAGGAGTGGAAGAAATACAGGACTTTTAAAATATTTTCCTCTGCACTGTCTGAAATTCTTTGTTTAATTTTTTCCACAATTTAAAAAATTATGGTAAAATATATAAAACATAAAAAAGGTAGATACATTCATAATGTTGTGCAACCATTGCCACCATCCATCTCCATAACTTTTTTTATCGTGTAAAACTGAAACTATACCCATTAAACAATAACTTTCCATTCCTCCCTCCAGGCCCTGGCAATCACTATTCTGCTTTCTGTCTCATGATTTTGACTACTCTAAGTACTCATATAAATGGAATCACACAGTATTTGTCTTTTTGTGACTGGCTTATTTCATAAGCATAATGTTCTCAAGATTCATATGGACATATGGTATAGCATACGTCAAAATTTCCTCCTTTTTAAGGCTGAAGAATGTCCCATTAAAAAAAAATACATTTATTTATTTTATTTTTGGCTGCGTTGGGTCTTCGTTGCGTCTTCGTTGCTGTACATGGGCTTTCTCTAGTGGGGCTATTCTTTGTTGCGGTGCACGGACTTCTCATTGCAGTGCCTTCTCTTGTGGAGCAGGGGTGCGCGGGCTTCAGTAGTTGTGTCTCGTGGGCTCTAGAGCACAGGCTCAGTAGTTGTGGCGCACGGGCTTAGTTGCTCCGCGGCATGTGGGATCTTCCCGGACCAGGGCTTGAACCCGTGTCCCTGCATTGGCAGGCGGACTCTTAACCACGGTGCCACCAGGGAAGTTCCCACCAAGGGAAGCCCCCACCAAGGGAAGCCCCCACCATTTGTATATATCAAATTTTGCTTATCCATTCATCTGTCGTTAGGCACTTGGGTTGCTTCCAGGTTTTAGGTAAACATGGGTATACAAATATCTCTTCCAGCCCCTGCTTTCAATTACTTTGGTTATACACCCAGAAGTGCAATTGCTGGATCATTGGTAATTCTATTTTTAATTCTTTGAGGAAATCCATACTGTTTTCCAGTGGCTGCACCATTTTACATTCCCACCAACTGTGCACAACAGTTCCAATTTCTCCATACCCTCACACGTTTGTTGTCTTGTTTTTTGTTTTGTTTGATAGCAGCCATCCTAATGGGTATGAGATTCTTTGTTTCATTTTGACTACTACTTGAAATTCTATTGTTAAAGAGTTTTATTCATTTGGGGTTAACAAGCATTCTCTTTTAAAAGGCAAATATACTTAAGAGCGATCTGTCTCTCTTACCTCCCCTGGTCGGTCTGATTCTCATGTGACTTCCAGGTAGTAACTGGACTCTAATTACATATACTTCTCAAATCATGCACCCATAGCCCTGACACTGATTGGTTTTTCTCACGTGAAGGGATCACTGCTTGGAGTGCTGTGATTTGCTAGCATTTCAAGTGCAACAAAGATGGGCCCCATTATCAAGTATTAGAAATTAATGTTGAAAAAATGAGCCAGAGATGGGGCACTGCCTATTTGTGAAACCTATATTTCATTAAAGTTATTTAATGAATTTATTTTAAAACACTTATTGAGTCAAGCTCCAGCAGATCAGGGTATTTTCCTATTTGGCTCACTGCTTTACTTTTAATGCCTAAAATAGTGCCTAGACCATAGAAAGGGCTCAATAAATGTTTGTTGAATGAGTGGATACATTCTACAGATATATTCTGTGGTTCTCCAAGTATAATCCACACCCTCTGGGAGTGCCTAAGATGGTTTCAGGGAGTCTGCATGGTCAAAACTATTTTCATGATGATATTAAGACATTATTTGCTCTTTTTCATTGTGTTGGTATTTTCACTGATTGTGGAAAAGTGGATGAAACTGCTGGCATATTAGGATGAATCAAGGCAGTGTGGCACCAACTTGTACTATACTTGTATTCTTTTTTAAATTTATTTTTGGCTGCGTTGGGTCTTCATTGCTGCGCGGGCTTTCTCTAGTTGTGGCGAGCGGGGGCTACTCTTCGTTGCGTTGCGCGGGCTTCTCACTGCAGTGACTTTTCTTGTTGCAGAGCATAGGCTCTAGGCGCGTGGGCTTCAGTAGTTGCAGCACGCAGGCTCAGTAGTTGTGGCTCGCAGGGTCTAGAGTGCAGGCTTTTAGTAGTTGTGGTGCACAGGCTTAGTTGCTCTGTAGTATGTGGGATCTTCCGGGACCATGGTTCGAACCTGTGTCCCCTGCGTTAGCAGGCAGATTCTTAACAACTGTGCCACCAGGGAAGTCCCTATACTTGTATTCTTCACTGCCACACCTAGGCAGTAAAAGAATTAAGAAGCCACTTTCACTTAAGACTATCCTTTTTTTAAAAAATTAATTAATTGATTAATTAATTTGGTTGTGCCAGGTTTTAGTTGTGGCAAGCAGGCTCCTTAGTTGCAGCACGTGGGCACCTTAGTTGTGGCAGGCAGTCTCCTTAGTTGTGGCATGTGAACTCTTAGTTGTGTCATACATGTGGGATCTAATTCCCTGACCAGGGATCGAACCCAGGGCCCCTGCATTGGGAGCACGGAGTCTTATCCACTGCACCACCAGGAAAGTCCCACTTAAGACTATCCTTGATGAAGCAGTACAAATGATTAATTTTATGAAATCTCTCTCCTAGAGTATGTGTCTTTTTAATGTTCTATATGATGAAATGTGACATGTACATAAGGCACTTCTGCGAATTACTGAAGTACACAATTGTGCAATTGTCTGAGATGTGTGAATTGAACTAGCTGCTTTTTTTCATAGAATACCATTTTTTGGGAAAGAATGACAAAAACTATGGTTATTCGACTTGGGTATTTGAATGAAATTAAACTACCACTTTAAGGAAAAGAAAGTATTTCTGCCAATGATAAAATTTGAGCTTTCAAGCAAAAATTATAATTTTGGAATATGTGCTGAAGGGGAGCAGAATATGCCACCCCTAAATATGGTACTTTGGCCTGTGGATTATTTCGAGCTGAAGGCAGTAACACCCAGCAGACTCAGGAAAAACTTTTACCTGTCCCTAACTACCTAATAGAATTTAGATACAGGGTATGTATCAGAAAAAGAGCTACGACCAGAGATAACTTTTTTATCTGAAAGACTTACTAGCATGGTTGGGCAAACTTCTAATTACCAAACATCTGTTCTTCTTCTAGTCCTGTGAATTGCCCTCCCCCCTTTGAAGCCTCAGGCCCCTAACCCAGTCTTCAGCTCAGGATGGCATATAAGTCTCAATTGCCTAACTTGCCCTTGGGTCTCATTTTTATGGAGCTCCCCTAAGTACGAAATTGTATTTTCTCCTGTTAATTTATCTTACTTCAATTTAATTAGCGGACCAGCTAAAGAACCTAGAAGAGAAGGGAAAACTTTTATGATCCTACAGGAAAATGTGGTATCCACCAGTGACTTTGACGGCTTCACAAGAGGGATGAGATCAGTGATGATTTTAATAAATGTGATTTTTAAAATACTGAATAAGGGGCTTCCCTGGTGGCACAGTGGTTGAGAATCCGCCTGCTAATGCAGGGGGCACGGGTTCGAGCCCTGGTCCGGGAAGATCCCATATGCCGCGGAGCAACTAAGCCCGTGTGCCACAACTTCTGAGCCTTCGCGTCTGGAGCCTGTGCTCCGCAACGAGAGGCCACGATAGTGAGAGGCCCGCGCACCGTGATGAAGAGTGGCCCCCGCTCGCTGCAACTGGAGAGAGCCCTCGCACAGAAACGAAGACCCAACACAGCAAAAATAAATATAAAATAAATAAATTAATTAAAAAAAATAATAAAATAAAATAAAATACTGAATAGGGACTTCCCTGGTGGTCCAGTGGCTAAGACTCCATGCTCTCAATGCAGGGGGCCCGGGCTCGATCCCTGGTCAGGAAAATAGATCCCGCATGCCGCAACTAAAGATCCTCCACGCGGCAACGGAAGATCCCCCATGCCGCAACTAAGACCCGACGCAGCCAAATAAATAAATATATTTTTTTTAAAAAGAATCTACCATTTCTTGAGTTTTGCTAGTATCGAATAAGAGTATCCAGAGGCCCTGCTTGGTCTGGGCTGCTTTAAAGCGGCTCAAGCAGCTCTCGCAGATCTGGCCATCAAAACGCACTTTTGCCCGGCCATAGCATCTTACTCTGTCTCCGCCGATGGTCGAGAATTAAGCGATCCCCCGTGTCACGATGGAAGAAGTGAGGGAGACCGCTGTCCAGATGCAAAGCCCTATCAAGACAGAGTGGAATTCCTGCTGTGTCCTTTTCACCTATTTCCAAGGGGATATTAGCAGCTAGCAGCGTGGTGGACGAACACGTCTCCAGAGCTCTGGGCAATGTCAAGAGCCCACAGGGACTGAGCCCTTCCAGCCAGAGTGGAGATGCGATCCTGAGGAATGTTAAGGAAATCTATTTCCCCCTTGATGGTGGACCTGCCAGTACCAGCCTTGCAGTTGAAAAAAGCCAGCCCCAGAGAGAAGAAAAGATCTGTTTGTTCTTTTACTGAAAACTTCGGTGTGAGGAAGGGAATTCTTTTTTCCAAACCTGCTTATGTTTTTTTTGCGGTACGCGGGCCTCTCACTGTTGTGGCCTCTCCCGTTGCAGAGCACAGGCTCCAAAGGCGCAGGCTCAGCAGCCATGGCTCACGGGCCCAGCCGCTCCGCGGCATGTGGGATCTTCCCGGACCGGGGCACGAACCCGTGTCCCCTGCATCGGCAGGCGGACTCTCAACCACTGTGCCACCAGGGAAGCCCCGGGGGCTACTCTTCGTTGCGGTGTGTGGGTTTCTCATTGTGGTGGCTTCTCTTGTTGCAGAGCATGGACTCTAGGCGTGTGGGCTTCAGTAGTTGTGGCACTCGGGCTCTGTAGTTGTGGCTTGCAGGCTCTAGAGAGCAGGCTCAGTAGTTGTGGCGCATGGGCTTAGTTGCTCCACGGCATGTGGGATCCTCCCAGGCCAGGGCTCAGACCCGTGTCCCCTGCATTGGCAGGCAGATTCTTAACCACTGTGCCACCAGGGAAGTCCCTGTTTTTTCTGTAAACTTGTTAAGTGAATCCTGAGCATATAAGATGGTTAAAAGAGCTGCTCAGGGGTGGGGAGCATAGAGCCTCACACTCCTTGCACCGACTGCCCTCCTACTTAGAAATCAGCCACCATCAATGGGGTCTTCCACATCAAGACTGACCTTGTGGTACCCCATGGGGTTGTCCCACTCTTCCAACTGAATAGAGATTCCAGGAACAGCCTGATGCTTTCTAGCCCTAAGCAGACTATGGCCAACTTCCCTCTTGCCTCTAACAAAAGCAAAATGGAAATGGGGTGGGCAAGACCCACTGAGAGTGGCTGGACGCTAGACACTCCCTGCATTCTCCAAGTTTGGAAGAATGCTGAAAAGGTCTCTGGCTGGCCCTAATGAATGAAATACTTTCACTCGGGAAATTTGATGGCTCAATTCCAAAAAAGTGATCCAAATGAAATGGCTGAGCAATCTGAGAAGTAACTTCTTGCAAGTTAGTAAACAAACTGCCCCATCCCAAGCGGGGCCTAGAGTAAGTTCTGTATCCAGAACACTTCTTAGATGAGTTCCATGACTTCCTGGCTGCCCTCCCTCTGAGGAGGAGGACGTTGGCACCCCATACCTCACAGGTGCTCATGCTCACCTGACAGCCTTCTGCAGCGGCCCACCTGACTGCCATCACCACGGAACCTTTCCTGTAGTTCTTCCACTGTTAGTAGCATCTGGGAAATAGTAACTTTCTTTTCAGCACAGAACCGTTGGGGCCACCTGTGCGGATACCCACGGCATCTCACACGAATTGGAGGTGAAAGGCATGGCTGGCTCCAAGACTTGGCAGCAGGACACTCCCTCAGATCGTTCCAGATAAAAGGACAAATTTCTCCAAACTCCTTCATCTCTCCAATCTGGTAGACAGCCTGGTGTCCAGTGTGAGCTTGGTATACTTACCCCTGGCAACCCAGAGGCCCCTGCCGTCAATGGTCCCCACACAAACCCCACTTGCTCCCATGTAAGAGCTCAGAGGGTGACTAATAATATGACATTTTTGGATTAAAAAAGAAAAGTATCCACAATTATCAGAGAAGGCTAAAGATACCTCTCCCTTTTCCGGCTATGTATCTGTGTGAGACCAGATTTTCTGCATTTCCTAGTCCAAAACAACAGGATAACAGAGCGAACGGGGAAGCAAATATGAGAATCCAGCTGTCTTCTATTGAGCCAAACATGAGAGATTTGAAAAATTGTAATATAATGCCCCTCTACTCAATTTTTTTGGAAAGTGTAGTTATATTTCATAAAACATATTATGTTCACATGTAATGGTTAATTATTAGTTTTAGGAGAATTAGTAAATGATTTTTAATTTCTCAATTTAAATTTCTAATCTGGTGAACATCCCACATAAACAAAAGCTCTTTGGGGTCCTTAATCATTTGTAAGAATGTAAAAGGATCCTGAGATCAACACGTTTGAGAAGAGCTGCTTTGTGGTACGTGCACCTTACCTTATGAGCTAGCTCCACCTTACAGAAGAGGAAACTAAGACATAAAGATTTAAGACCAGTTTAAGGCCACATGGTCAGTGTAGTGCTGGGTATTGTACTCCGGTCTTCTAACTCCAGAGCTTGTATTTGTGACTATAACTTTTTCCTTGAAATTACCTCTGCTAAAATTATCTTTAAGCAGATAGTTAAAAGACATTTCAACAACATTAAAAAAAAGTCTTCATCATAGTCAACGGATATTTCTTTCTTATTAAGTAGCTACACGATCCTTCCTTAGGCTTGTATCGCAAGTGAAACTGGTGATTGCTGGACCGTCCTCAGTTCGGTTTTTGTTCGGACAATCTGGTTTTCGAATCTGAGTTGGCGTCCCCTTGATAACTCCGCGGGGGAACTGGAGCTAAGGGTTCCAGTTCCCCGGGGACTCTACAGATTTCGCGTGGCTTCCACGCTCAGAACCCTCCCACTCTCAGCACCATCTCTGCCCTCAGACCCACTTTAGGACCTCTAGGGACGCTTCCTGGCCGCTGATTGGCTGGGCCTGACAACAATGGGAGGGACGCGGCTCCGGATTGGACGTCAGAGCCCCTTCTCCTCCCTCGCCCGCGTCCACCGAGCAGCGTCCCAAGTGAGAGCGGGATCCCGACTCCAACCAGGGCCTGGGCGGGGTCGAGCGCTCCGCCCCGGGAGCGGGGCTGCCACTAAGAGCCCTGGCCTGCGGGGGCCGGGTGTCCTGGGCACCCGGGATTGGCGTGCCGGCAACCTTCTCCCGTCGTGCACCGGGGCGCCGGCCGCTCACCCGGAAGAAGAAGCCTAGAGTCTTACTGTATAGTGGGGCACTGGCGGTGTTGCTGTGGGGAGTGGGTTCTGCTCTCAGGTGAGGGGGCGTGGGCGGGGCCGCGGGGAGTGGGTGCTGCTCTCAGGTGAGGGGGCGTGGGCGCTACGCTCAGGCTGCGGGCTTGAGCGTCAGCAGTGGCGCTTAGGGTGGCGACCTCGCTGGCCATCCTAGGGAACGAGCGGTCTCACCTACCGGGATGAAGGCGGGTGCTTACTTGGGATCCAAGGAAGGAAACCCGGCTTTTCCATTTATTTTTAAAGTATAAAGCATCTTTCCTTCCCACTCCCCAAGTTTAGTAGGCAAAGGGGAATAAGAACCACATGGCCTTTTTGCTCCTAGTTCGTTAGGAGTACGGTGTGTGTGTGTGTGTGTGTGTGTGGCCGGAGTAAAAGAGTTTGGCTACATTTACCCAAACACTAGGACTAGGAGTAATGGCAGGTATTTTACGGGGACACAGAAGGCTCTTGTGCTAGATTGTGGTTGCCTTGTTACTTAACCTGCAAGTGGAAAGACTGGCAAGTTACACATGAACAAAAGAATGGAGCAAAGAATAGCTGAGAATAGGCAGAGCTTGGTCAGACAGGGGAGCTGCTTCTACCACCTGTGGATGTTTCGGAAGGAGAGCTTTTTGAGTTGCCATCTGGCACCAAAGGGCTGAAGAATGAGTAAGAAAGGATGGGAGTCTCGGTGGCTCAATATAAAAGTTATCACCTGATTTTTTTTTTTAACATGTCTCTTTAAGTAGTTTAAATGGGAGTGAAAATGGTGGAGCTAAAGCCTTGAACTGCTGCCTTGAATTGTTTAGACATAGGAAAGCTTTACAAGGAATCTACTTTGTAAAAGCAAACAGCTGGATTTTACCCGGAGATACTGGTGCTGGTACAGGTGGAGAAAGTAAAGGAAACTTCACATGTGATTGAAAGGGCCCAGGAAATGTAGCTAGCGCTGAGTGAGTTGCATTAAGTAGCTGAGAGGATCACTGACTCTATCCTTAGTTGGATGACACATGGATGCATCTCCCAGATCATACTGCTAAAATTAAGTAAGAACTTCCTCCTTCCCCTCCAAGGGTAGAAATGAGCTTCATTTCCTCCTGAGGAGTGGCACCTACAGGGAGGGAGCTGGGAGAATAGTAGTTGCTAGAAATTATTACTTGAAGTATAGGTTTTTGTGTTTGTTCCATTGTTTTTAAGGAAAGTTACAATTGAAACATTTTTAGTGCCCTTTAAACTTAGTTTTAAGTATATAGCGTCTTGGGGGGTCCTAGGCTTTTTTTTAAAGCCAGTTTATAGCTATTTGTTTCTAAATGGTATAAGCCCCAAAGGAGAGGAGCTTGCTCTCGGAGCCTTAGGCAAACTCTTCTTGAGCCTGAGAATGATGACCATTTCGTTACTAAATTATGGTTCTGAATTTGGCAAACCTTTCAAGGCACTGGAGTTGTGTGAGCTGTACTGAGGTGTGGATTTCCTTGTCATCATGTCTCCTATGGTTACTTTTGTGGAAAGACACTTCAGTGTATTTAACTCTGCTCCTGTGCTGGCAAGTTACCGAATGCCTAAAAAGAGAAGAGAAAAACAATTTTTGTTTAAATCTTAGGAGGTTAATTGCTCACAGTGAGTTGGCCTGCTCTTTTTGATCACAGCCATTTGCTTACATCCAGGATGTTATACATCAGTTGTTACGGAATTGGGATTTCTCGCCTTTCAGTTCAGGACCCCTTTGCAGTGGTGACTGCATCAGCTGAAAAATCAGAATGTCAGCAAGAATACTGTTGAAGATGGCATTGCAACCACAGAATTTCCAGTTTACTCGACTGTGTAGCCCAATTTTGTCATATATCATGCAGCTTCATCTCTGCGTGCAGTGTCTGTGTGTGAAGAGACCTCCTGGTATACTGAAAAAGATTGGAAAAGCTGTGTGCTCTGCTAATTTTATGGTGTAAATGAGTTCCCCTTCTCTTGAAATGTTAGCCGTGTGAGCACAACATAAGGAAATTCATTACACACTCTTCTAACGGTAAGGCAGAACTAATAAGAGAATGTGTTTAAAATTAATTGTGGGACTGTAAAAATGAGTGGGTGTGTAAATGGGCATGGGGAGAGGAGAGGGAGAGCTCAGAGATAGTCTTGTTTTCCCAGGAGCCAGCCTGGATCATTTGTTGGCAGTACATATTGGCTGAAGTCAGTTTTCATTTCAAGGTAAATTGGAAAGGGAAATTAAACCTTCTTGTTCCACTCTTAAGAGAGGAGAATGGGGTGGAGGCGGCAGCCAGAGTGGATGCTGTTGGAGTGGTTCTAGGAGTAAAAAGATCAGTGCTGTATTTTAACAGAAGGTAACATCATGGGCCCCTTTGGACTTGAGTAACCCTGTGCTGCAGCCTTCATGGTCCCCTTGCTGGAGTGGGCGATGTTGCTGCACATGTAAACTGCCACACTGGGGGAAATCAGTGGCTTAGGCTTTAATGAATCTTTGCAAAGGAGTGGAAAACATCCTGAGTCGACTTGTGCAGCTGTGGGGTGCTTGGGCAGTGGTATAAACCGCATGTCGAGAGAGGAAATGATCAGAACCATTGGCTTGGGTTCTGGAGATGGGATTAGATAAGGGAAGGTCACAACTGGGCAACCCACTCAGGTGCCCCCGGAACTCTCCAACTCTGAGATCTGTCTCTGGGGCGGTGACTGTGCTTAGCAAGACAAAGAGAGACTTAGGAGCAAAGGCGTTTGTGGGGTTTTGGTTGTCTCTAAACAGCTGGGAGGGGGCAATGTTAGGTTCACTTAGAGAGCTGTGCTGTGTGTGCCCACAGACACTGCTGTGCCTGCAGTTCTCAGGCAGAAAGGTTTTATGACTCAGCCTGCCTTTTCTGGCTGCCTGAGGCGACAGTGTGTAGACCTGAACATGTTTTGGCTAGAGGTGGCCTGGTTCAGGGTCCCCGCCATGGTCTGAGAAGGGAGGCAAATCCTCCAGGGCTTTTAGCTTGGCACCTAGCTCACGTAGGGGACTTTTTTTCCTTCCTCTTAAGTTTTACACAAGAACAAAAAAGTTGCCTGGATTTCCCCAGGGGGGTGTCGATTAAAAATTTTCAGGGTCGGGCTTCCCTGGTGGCGCAGTGGTTGAGAGTCTGCCTGCTGATGCAGGGGACACGGGTTTGTGCCCCGGTCCGGGAAGATCCCACATGCTGCGGAGCGGCTGGGCCCGTGAGCCATGGCCGCTGAGCCTGCGCGTCCGGAGCCTGTTGCTCCACAACGGGAGAGGCCACAACAGTGAGAGGCCCGCGTACCGCAAAAAAAAAAAAAAAAAAAAAAAAAAAAAAAAAAATTTTCAGGGTTTTGCCCTGGCCAAGAGAGAGAAGAGTAGACGCATACTAACAGTGATTGATCGTGTGTCTTCTGTCCCTCATCAGATGTTTTCTTCCAATGGGCTTTTGGTGTAGAATGTTGGAGAACCAAGAGCAGGAGGTAAGCATGTGGTCTCTGGGCAACAGGTGGGTAAATGTTTGAGGGGATTTGGGAGATTCAGATATTGCTTGGTGGTGTCCTTCTGACACTAATACCTTGGTGGTTCTGATGAGCTCAGGGTCAAGCCAGAGGAGGGAAATCAGTAGTAAAGGCATTACTGGGAAATGAGGTTCCATTTTCACTAACTTTTCCATTCATTGGAATGTACTAGAATGTAAGCTTCATAAGGGCAAAGCTTTTTGTCTCTTGTTCTTGTTCTACCCTAGTGCCTTAGCACAGTGCCTGCCACATACAGGGTGGTCAATAAATATTTGCCGAATTGAATGAATAAATGAACAAATGAATGAAAGTTGGTGTTGAGTGGAAAAATCTGGCAGCCTTTGTGTCGAGGCCACCTTACTGTGTGGCTGTGCTGAAGCTGAAGAAGCATTTCTTCCCTCCAGGAGGTGATCACTGTGCGTGTTCAGGACCCCCGCGTGCAGAATGAGGGCTCCTGGAATTCTTACGTGGATTATAAGATATTCCTTCATGTAAGTGCATCCAATTTTGATATTGGGGTCAGCACCCTCCAGGGCTGAGGGCCAGTCTTGAGGCAGAATCTGTTTATGGATGTTTTGACAGAAGTAAAGGAGGGAGGAGAGGAAAGAGAGCCTGGGGTTTGCCTGAGAGTTGTTTTCAGGCTGCCTGGTGGCATCTTGCTCTGCTTGGAGCCCTCGATCAGGACTGTGGCCTGGTGGCTTGGGTCCTTAGTGAGAGTGACGATGGGGAGTTCACGTGAACTTGGGCTTTTTCCACTAAAGCCTTTTCATGTGCTGCCTCCTGTAGACCAACAGCAAGGCTTTTACTGCTAAGACATCCTGTGTGCGTCGCCGCTACCGAGAGTTTGTGTGGCTGAGAAAGCAGCTACAGAGAAACGCTGGTTTAGTGTGAGTTTGCTCTTGTTTTCTTCTTGGGTCTGAGACTGGCTTTTTAGGTGCTTACTTGGCAACTGGAATTTACAATGAAAAAAGCTTGGCAACTTGCCAGGTACTGAGGACATTGAGAAATGTATTCTTAAATTATGTTTTCAAGTCAGTAAAAAAAGTAAGACAGCGTTCTTATTTCTAATATTTTGACCTAACAAAGCCAAATAAATCTAAAAAATATTTTTCTTTTTTAACATGCATAGGGCTAAATAGTCTAGGGCTAAAGAAAGGTACTGCTGGCTTTTTAAGTGTGCTTCACTGGTTGTGAGAAGCTTTTTAGCATCTGGAATAAATTGACAGGTGGTGTTCCCGTCCATTTGATATATAAAAATAGTGATTATTTTTTTCTTTTTTGTGTAGAGACCTCTATCCAGAGAGCCTTAGGAAAAGCAGTAGTGTTCACTCCTCACCTGCATACTTCAAATAAGTCCTAAAACTTGAGACAGTTTAGGACAGTGATTCCACCACAGTGTGGCCACTGCAATGCTCTGGTGACCCTGTTGATGACGTAGCCAGTTAGATAACATGTGGGACTGATGAGGCCATTGTCATGGGTCAGGCCCTAATTAGTCAGTTGGAACTTCCTCTGAACAGACCCTGCATCCTCTAGTCTGGCCTGCCATTTTTTTTTTTTTTTTTTTTTGCGGTACGTGGGCCTCTCACTGTTGTGACCTCTCCCGTTGCGGAGCACAGGCTCCGGAAGTGCAGGCTCAGCGGCCACAGCTCACGGGCCCAGCCGCTCTACGGCATGTGGGATCTTACCGGACCGGGGCACGAACCTGTGTCCCCTGCATCGGCAGGCAGACTCTCAACCACTGCGCCACCAGGGAAGCCCTGGCCTGCCATTTTTAAAGCATGTGCCATGCTTCACAGGAGAGGCTAGGGAGGCTTGAAGAGTTTGTGGATGATTTGCTGCAACTCGACTACTTTCAGAAAATTCCAAGCATGTGACCTTCCAGGGCTGGAGAAGGTAGTCTTAATTTACACAGAAGGACCCAGCATTCTCCGTGTCTCTGTGTCCAAGTTTCTTCCTTTTTCAGTAATAGTTGATGGTGGGAATGGGTTTTGTAAACAGTGTAATCTAGCAGCATGGAGTTTTTAAGTCATAGACTTGGTTCAAATACCAACTCTGCTGCTTACTTACTAGCTGTGTGACACTGGGAAATTTACTTAACTTCTCTGTTTCTATTTCCTTACCACTAAAATGGGGACACTAATATCTTTCTCATGGGGTTTTGGGGAGTATTAAACGAAGTAAGGTTAAATTAAAACATTACAGTGCCTGACACACTCATGCAGTCAAGTCAGTGTTAGTCTCCTTCCCCTGCCACCTTATTAAATTCTGTTTGTATTGATTTGCGCCTCTTTTTAGGGGATTTCCTTGATCAGGGACTGGAATGACTGTCTTGGATGTTACTTATCTTGGGCGTGTTACATTATGTGATCCCACAGGCCTGTACCTGAACTTCCTGGGAAGTCAACCTTCTTTGGCAGCTCAGATGAATTCATTGAGAAGCGACGACAAGGTCTGCAGCACTTTCTCGAAAAGTGAGTGGACTTGGCGGGCTAGCACTTGCCTCCTGGGGAGGGGCTGGGGGGTGAGGTGTGTGTGCCGGGCAGGATGGCCCCTGTGAACATACAGGCACATTTGTGTCAGATGCCTTTCTTGCACCCTTGTGCCTTCAGTGCTCACTCAAGCCACAAGGCCTTCAGAGGATGGGGCTGGGGAGAGCCACTGCTCGGGGTGATGCTCTGTGTTGCCCTACCTGTGTTTGCCCCAGGGTCCTGCAGAGTGTGGTCCTCCTGTCAGACAGCCAGTTACACCTCTTCCTGCAAAGCCAGCTCTCGGTGCCTGAGATAGAAGCCTGTGTCCAGGGCCGAAGCCCCATGTCCGTTTCCGATGCCATTCTTCGCTATGCTATGTCAAACTGTGGCTGGGCCCAGGAAGAAAGGCGGGGCTCCTCTCACCTGGCTAAAGGAGACCAGCCTAAGAGGTAACTGAAGTGCTCTATTTTGAGACACCAGTGGCTAGGATTATTGTAACCTGGGCCAGTGAGGTGTCCATTGGTAGAGAAAGCAGTAAGGTCACAGCGTCAGTGGCCTTTCAGAAGGGCCTTGGCCTCCTTGTGCATGGTTCTTTCATTCCATGCACAAAGGTCTTGTTTCTTTACTAACTCATCCCTGGGGAGCGTGCTCTCCTATTGGAACCTGAGGAGAAAGAAGAGAAGGCTTTCTTATTTGTTTTGTTCTTTATCCTCTCCCCCAACCCCCGTTTTCTTTTACTTGTTTTTTTTAATAAAGTGCATTGTTATTTTTTTAATTAATTAATTTTTAAAATAGCATTAGAGCTCTCTTTTTAATTTATTAAATTTATTTATTTTTGGCTGCGTTGGGTCTTCATTGCTGTGCGCAGGCTTTCTCTAGTTGCAGCGAGCGGGGGCTACTCTTTGTTGCAGTGTGCTGGCTTCTCATTGCGGTGGCTTCTCTTGTTGCAGAGCACGGGCTCTAGATGCGTGGGCTTCAGTAGTTGTGGCACGCGGGCTCAGTAGTTGTGGCTCGCCGGCTCTAGAGCGCAGGCTCAGTAGTTGTGGTGCACGGGCTTAGTTGCTCCATGGCATGTGGGATCTTCCCGGACCAGGGCTCGAACCCATGTCCCCTGCATTGGCAGGAGGATTCTTAACCACTGGACCAGCAGGGAAGTCCCCCCCATTTTCTTTAAATAACAACCTTATCGAGATATATTTACATACATAAAGTTCACCCTTTTAGTGTACAATTCAGTAGTTTTAGTTTATTCATGAAGTTGTTCAGCCATCTATCACCACAGTCAGTTCTAGAATGTTTTCATCACCCCCAAAGAAACCTTGTGCCCATTAGCTGTGACTCCCCATTTTCCCCAACCCCCAGCCCTTGGCAATCAATGTCTACTTTACTTGTCTATGGATTTGCATATTCTGGACATTTCACAGAAACGGAGTCAGTCATACGGTATGTGGTCTTTTGTGACTGACGTCTTTCATTTAGTACATTTTCACGGTGTGTCTGTGTTGTAGTGTGTATCAGCACTTAATTCCTTTCTACGGCCGAATAATATTTATTTGTATGGAGAGACCTCCTGCTGTTGTCCATTCATTTTTGTTTACCTGTTCATGCCCTTCGTTTCCCTTTCCCTCTCTTTTCCAGTTGCTGCTTTCTCCCAAGATCGGGCAGGAGGAGCTCTCTCTCACCGCCTCCCGGGGAAGAAAAGGACAGTTTCGAGGTGTGGGCTCCTGTTGTTGACTCTGAGGCTCCTTCCTTGGAGAGCCCCCCTCTCCCACCTTCCTCCTTTCCGTCATGCTGTGGTTTTGCAAGACCTGATGAGGGAATCTCTGCTCCTCAGCCTGTGAGGAGGGCCATGGGAGGGGACCGTGCAGTGTGTTTGGATCCTGGTCAGTTGGAAACAGTTTTGGAAAAGTGAGCTCTGCTTGGAGCTCTGGGTTCTCCTCTGAGGCGGATGAAGGAGATGTGGGCCGGGAGACTTGCTCAGGTGGGGCTGGGCCCAGGCCGGTGGTGGGGAGGCTGGGCTGCTTCGTGTCTTACCGTGGCCTCTGCTCGCGTTGGTTGCGTGGAGATCGGTGACAACTCGTCAGGCTTCTTCCATAGAAATAGACACTGTGCAGATGTTTATAAGTTAAGCACAAGGCGCAGGGGTTGTTGGTTCTGAACCAAACCCCATATTTACTCTTCTGGGAGCTGAATTTCTTTAGATGTTTGTTAACAGGCCTAGGAGCACTGTCTCAGGTGACTGGTTTTGGGGACCTGTAGGTGGCAGATTTTAAGCTGCCATACTGAATAATGTTCAACAGAAATGCTTGTGTCATTGTATTCCCACAGGCTCTATTTTTGCTGCAGCCCCTGGAGCACTTAGTTTCTGGGAGGCTGGCCTCTTGCCTACCCCCTTGCATGGACAGGGAGGTGAATATTCTCCCACCTCCTTGCTTTTCCTCCACTAATACCACTGAATGGAACGGTGCTGTGACTCCTGTCACTGGGGTTTCCTGCGCATCCCAGGACCTCGGCCTGGCTTTATGGGGCCAAGACCCATGAAATAGCTCATGGCCATCCACGAAAGAGAAGGGTTTGGTCACAGCCATAGGAAAGGGACCAGTTCAGGGGCTTTGTTTTGGAAAGGATGCCCTGGGCTGTCACCGTCTCTCTGGTTATAAAGCGGAGACGCGTCTGTCTTCTCTGCAGGGTAAGCATGGGCTCCTTTCTTTTTTGAATCCTTTTCTTCTCCCTTAGTAACAGCTCCCTGCCCCCAGGCTTCAGCCACCACGTGTCCCTCCGCTGTGTTGCCGTATGTTCAATCCAGTGGGGTGCAGGGGCTTTGTTTCTGCCTGGAGAGAGGGCTCTGGGGATGGAGATGAGGAACAACACGCCTTCCTTCAGACAATGAGGCATTCTGCCCTCCTGCTGCCGTAATTCTCTCCTCTGAGAGCCAGAGCTGGTAGGAGATGAGTGCCGCTGGCATTCTGCCCTGCCCTGCCCTTGGGTTTGTGTGTGTGGTTCTTCCCCTTCTTGCCCGCTTCTCCCTCTTCTGGCCATCGCACCCTGTCTCTGGGCTCTTTTACTACCAGCCTATGCTATGGGACTGTCATGGCATTTAGTTCAGAGTTGAGGGGTTTTGGCTTGAAATAAAATTCAAGTATTTAAGACTGTTGTTGCAGTTGGTGTCTAACAAGCTGTAGCAGTGGAGGAGGGAGTGAGGGCTGGCAGTAGTTACTTTCATAAATCATGAATTTATCAGCGTGGAAATAATGGTTCAGAACCGTGCACGGCAGCTCTCCTGTACTGTGTGTGCAGCTCAAGTTCACCACTGGAGGAAGAATTGCCTTCCAAAGAGTCAGGATCCAGCTCCTCTCACAGTTATGGGCACGAACCTTGTTAGGTATAATTTACCTGATGCTGCTTCCGTCCTCGCAGCCTGTCTGCGGTGCCAGGTGCTGAAAGAGAAATAAAGTTTGTCAACAGGCAGATGCGGAGCCCTCGCTGGGACTCATTTCTCTTTCCTGCCCGCCTCCCCTGGGTCTCTCCTTTATATGATGCAGCAGAGCAAGGCGAGGATAGAAAACCTACAGAGGCAAATCCAAAATGTCAAAAGAAGTTCATTTAAAAGGGGAAAAAACTCCATACACAAACCTCACAAAAACCCGACAGATGCTAAGCTAATGGTATCCGCTCTGCCGATTGGTGGGGATGACTCATGAATATTAATGAGTCCAATGCTCCAAATGGTGCAGCTGTGAACCCAGCTGTGCTTGAAGCTCTCTGATTTCAAAACTTCCAGACAGGAGCCGGAGGTGGTCTGTGTCAATTCCCTACTCAGCCAAAAAACAGCAAGCTGGGTTGGCCTTCTTCTGTTCACTCCTTTTCTTCCTGGAGTTGGTGCTCAGCAGCTAATTCTGCCAGCAGGGTAGGCTGCTGGGACAGCAGGAGCTGCTCAAAGACACAGATGCAATTTTTCTGACTCTTGGCTTTTTTTTTTTTTTTTTTGCTGTATGCTGGCCTCTCACTGTTGCGGCCTCTCCCGTTGTGGAGCACAGGCTCTGGACGCGCAGGCTCAGCGGCCATGCCTCACGGGCCCAGCCGCTCTGCGGCATGTGGGATCTTCCCGGACCGGGGCACGAACCCGTGTCCCCTGCATCGGCAGGCGGACTCTCAACTACTGCGCCACCAGGGAAGCCCTCTTGGCTTTTTTAATGATCCATTATCAGCAGTGCATACAACAGCACCTCAGTTAATCTAAGGCCAGGCACCATCCCTGCACTGTCTTGTGCAGAGTTGAGTGTAGACCATGGAAGGAGATGTCCTGAGAGGGGAAGAGTTTTTCTATGGGCCTGGAATTACCAGAAAAACAGCAAAGATGGATTTTACTCTTCATCTAGGCAGTGCCATCTGCCTGTCTCCCATTTTGCTCTGTCCCTGTGTGTACTAAGGGCTGCCACCGATGACCTCTGTAGGGAAGATAGGGAACTACTAGGGGGAGCGGCCTACTGAGTTGTTTTGTAGAATGGAAGTATTTTTGGTTTGAAGTAGGTTCTGTGCCTGACTTATAGTTACCTAATTTTTTTTTTTTTTTTTTTTTTTGGCTGTGCCATGCGTCATGTGGGATCTTAGTTTTCTGACCAGGGATTGAACCTGTGCCCCTTGCAGTGGAAGCACAGAGTCCTAACCACTGGACTGCCAGGGAATTCCCTAGTCACCTTTCTTCCGACAGCTAGTTTCGTGGTCCAAGTCTAGTCATCTGTTACCCAGGATAAGTGATCCCAATCTCATGGGTTTCCTTTTGTTTGGTGGAAGTGTGTGTGTGTGTAGGAGGAGATGGGTTTTCTTGTGTGAACATAATAAGTTTCATATGCATCTTTTTATAAAAAAATAAATTTATTTATTTATTTTTGGCTGCGTTGGGTCTTCATTGCTGTGTGCAGGCTCCTCATTGTGGTGGTATACTAGCTCTGTGTGTGTCCCTTCCCCTGGTGGCCTTGTTGGTGTGGGAAACCAGGCCCACCAGCAGCCTGACCCGAAGCCCTGTAGCAGAAGGCCCAGGATAGTGAGAACCTGTGTTGGTTTGTTGGAGGCAATTTAACCTGCCTGCTATAAGCTATGAGACTTAGATATATTCTACCAATTAGGGCACATCTGTTAGCAGTGCTGAAAGGCCGGCACTGTCTCTTTAAGAGCCATCCCACTCCTCTCCTTGAGCGATGAGGGCTGGGGGCACAAGGGAGTCAGATGCTGATTAAACAGTCCTACTGCCGAGCTCTGTTAGAAAATTACTGTAATTATGATCTAGTCCCAGCAGAGGGATGAGTTCCAATCCTGCTAATAACCCTTCCAGGTGCCTCAGATTCAGGGCCCATGGGAGGCAGCATGGTTAGGCTCTGGCTGGCAGCAGGGCCAGCAAAGGCCCTCCTGTCTGGCCTCTGCAGGCAAAGACAACAAAGGCGCTGGACCCCTCATCCTCTCTTGGCAGTGGGTTTTGGTTGTCTTTTGTTGTATTTTTTTGATTCTTTTTTTTTTTTTTGCTGTACGCGGGCCTGTCACTGTTGTGGCCTCTCCCGTTGCGGAGCACAGGCTCCGGACGTGCTCCTATTTTTTTGATTCTTGACAGAGCTCCTGGGAGTCATTTTGTATGAGAGAACTTTCCCCTAAACTAACACGAAGGACCAGGAAAATCACAGCCACGAGATGACTGTCCTGACTCCCAACTTCTGCCCCAGTCCCGCACAAAGCGCAGGGAGCCAGTGCGGGCCCTTGCACCGCAGCTGCTTCTACACTGTTTCTATGAATCTGGGTTTCTTGCTCCGAAGTAGTACACAGTGTTAAACTCAGTCCTGATCAAGACTTTCAGGGCTCCCCTTTTAGATGTCTGCTACAGAAACAGGAAAAAGGATAGTTACCACAGGGACTCACTGTGATGCCGCTCTCTAAATCGGCAAGCACTGGTTTATTCATTTGAAAACATCATTCTTGTAGTGCAAATCTGCAGCAATGCAGGCGAGCAAATCTCAGATTCCTGTGGAGCGTGGGGGCTGGCTTCCTGGTTCTTAAACCCTGAGGAATTCATGACATTTATACTCTCTGTCTTCTCAACTTCATAAGCCTCTCTCTGTCACTGTAATCCAGTAGCTAAAGCCCAGACTTCTAGAAGGCAGGGCAGTTTCTCTGTGCTTGGCCCTACGCACACCCAAATGCTCTGAGACAATGGTTCTTCACCAGGGGTGGTTTTGTTCCCAGGGCACATTCGACAATGTCTAGAGACATTTTGGGTTGTCAGAATGGGTGGGGGGTTTGAGGGGAGTAGTACTGGCTTCTAGTGGGTAGAGGCCAGATGCTGCTGTACATCCTACAGTGCCCCAAGAACATACAACTGCCTGGCCCCAGATGTCAATAGTGCCAGGTTGAGAAGCCCTGTACTAATAGAATGAGGCAACAAGCTCTAAATCCCCCCTCCGCCCCCAAACCTCCAATGCACTGCTTTGGTCGCAGATCTCCAGATGGCAGGTGCTTTCCTGGAGGTGGAATATATTAATGACGGGCTTAGCAGGGTGCCCACCGTGGGAGGCATCCAGTAAATGTAGGTGGTGTGCATGTGCCACCTTGGTGATTCAGGGCAGAGCAATGCCAGTGCCTGACTGTAGTTAAAAGGGAGGTTTTGTATCCTGTTTTCTTCTGTTCTATGATTGCATGTGGGGCATAAAAGGTGCCCAGCTGCTCACCATCAGGCTAAGAGTGTCTACAGTGGACCCAGATGCCTTCTTTGAGGACCAGCAGTAGAAGCCTCTTGGAGCTGACTCCCATGGCAGGAGGCAGGGAAGTGGCATACTCTTGCCCAGTGCCACAGAAACGCTTCCCTCAGTGGCACTCTGCCAGGTGGCGGGTAGTGATGGGCCCCATGAGGGAACTGAACACACACAGCTGCTGATGACCAGCCAGCGCCCGAACAGCTTGATGCCAGAGACACCAGGTCCCTTGGAACAGCCTGGGCATCAGGAAAAGAAAGCCTAGTTGGCAGGGTTTTCCTAGGAGCCAGGCCTGCAGGGGAGAGGACTTCATTAGAAGGGATGTTGCCAAGCATCGGCCAGGAGAACCAGGCTGTTTCTATCTACTGCCCACTCTCCTGGTGACTAGGCAGCCCATTTTGCCTTATTTTTAGGGTGACCACTCATCCTGGTTTACATCTACGATCATGGCATCCTTATTAATAATGCCCCCTTTCATTCTCAAAAGTGTCTCCATTTGGAAAATAAACTACATAGTTGCCTATTAATTGTATTTTAGTTTCCTCTAATACTATAGTTTTTTGGGGGGCGGGGGCATCATATTTAGAAAAGATATTGGTGCAAAATAGGCTGCATCTTAAAATATGTCATTAATTGAATCTCAAGAGTTGCAAAAGGGTGGTCATCAATTCATACTAACTGAAAAGACAAAGAAAAACAGAAGAAAAACATGTTTTCTGAACAGTTTTTGATAGGAAAATAGGGAGAATAATTCAGATCCCTTGAAGAAGAAAAATCTCTTTAGTTTTACGTTTCAGGCTCCCTACCCAATCTGTGTAAATTCTAATGGGAGATGAAATAGCTGGGCAGGAGGGAGGGGGAAGCAAGGGACTGTGGTAATCCACAAACTAGAAAATTAGTTTGAGTCACTGGGCTGTGTAGCAGGGATAATCCTCTATGTAGACAGCTGCTTTTTCTAAAGTCAGCTCCACAGATTTTGCTGGTGCTCTGCGAATTAGCAAATCAGTGCCACTCAAGATTTATCCTTCCAGAGTCGCTTCTGGTGGAGAGACCTGCAGGGAGAGCTTCCTTTTGGCCAAAGGTTAAAGCACCTCTGTCCCTGACATTCAAGAGTTTTGTTCTCAAGATGAGAAGGAACGAAAGAAAAAAACGAAGAAGGAGGAACATACAAACATACGTTGGATTCTTTTTTTCCTTTCTTGCTTCTCTTTTTTTTTTTTTTTTTGCGGTACGCGGGCCTCTCACTGTTGTGGCCTCTCCCATTGCGGAGCGCAGGCTCAGTGGCCATGGCTCAGGGGCCCAGCCGCTCCGCGGCATGTGGGATCTTCCCGGACCGGGGCACAAACCCGTGTCCCCTGCATCGGCAGGCGGCCTCTCAACCAGTGCGCCACCAGGGAATCCCCTCTTGCTTTTCTTCAACTCCCTCTTTCTCAGACTGATTTATAAAGGCAGGACTGCCCCCCCTCCCCAGCCCCCCCCAACACAGACACATGCTTCATGACACCACTGCTTTATTGTGATGTAAGTGATTGGTGTGAAATGTGGATTTTGGAAATGTGTCACTGGAGGTGTCTCACTGCAACAGAACTCAAGTGATTCAATAAGCAGAGCGGCAGCCTGAGATTTTCAAGAGTCCCTCATTTCATTTCCTCTTCAACAGCAGATTTTGTGTGATTTTTGTTCAAGTCACCACCTTTCAGATCCTCAGTTTTGCCACTTGCAAAGACTGATTACAAATAAGGTGGTGCAGCTGAGCAAGCTAAGGTGCTAAAACAGTTAAGGATAACTTGAAATCTAGGCTATTGCTTACATATTATGTTTAGATAAAGTAACAGGAGGGAGGACATTTAGTTGGCCCCTCTTTAAATAGAATCAAAATGTC